AAGACACGGAACTGATTCAAATCAAAGCAAATGAGAAGAAATTTGCAATTCCTAGTAGACTGAGGAAGTTGGGGGAAAAATTCAGTGAAATCGTACCGTAGGTGATAAGGACAAGAAAGAATTGGTATTTATTGAGTGGGCGATCAATTATGAATTCCAATAATGATCAAATGATTATGGGGTATTGGGTGCCAAGTAGGTTTTGAGAAGGATGTGTCATTTGGAACAATGTATACTGACCTGATAGCATGATCACTGTGTGGACTTTCACTACGACTAGCCTCTTTGATAGCTTTGAGTCCAGGAATGCGTTCTTCGAGCTTCACATACATCGATTCAGCATACGCATGAAAACAACACCTGACCAGGGCATTGGCTGCCTTCGTATTTGTACAGATGAATGCATGACATTCAAGTACCTGAATGTTAGCACATTATTCACTTAATCCATTATCGCTATCATTGATTACAGAGATAGGTTATCGTCAAATTTCATGATGATTCTCTAATTTACACGAATAGTCGGATAATTTAAAAAATTGATCATCTAAAGTTCACAAGAATTCCATCGGCTTATTCATTTCATTCTTTCTTTAATTGGTCCACGTCGAGTTTATAGAGGAAAACTGTATGTTTAAGAATTAGAAGGAAAAGACATTTATGTATAACTGAACACATCAATATCCGAATGAACAATAATAAGTGGACAATATCAAGAACATATGTTGATAGCGCATATTGGAAATTGTATATTTCATGTTGTAAGTGTACTGATATAGGAACTAGTAATCACCTTAACGGAACTGAACAAAACAATATATAAATAAACAATGATCAACAAATAAACGGATAAGATCAAGTGATAAGATAGTACTCAGCTGGGTGAATAGATGAAGAGGAACAACTTCAAAACACACCTTAACACCAGTGGTTCGTCTGANGTACTCAGCTGGGTGAATAGATGAAGAGGAACAACTTCAAAACACACCTTAACACCAGTGGTTCGTCTGAAAATTGCTGCAAAAATTGGTGGATGTCTGGTATCGTCGTTGTTCGCAAACGGTGAATCAAGCGGTAGAAAGCGTTCACCGCCACCTTCAACCGCATAACCCGAAACGTTCACATATCGCACGGCTGCACAATAATGCAGTGAATTAATCGGATGAAACGCTGTTTCAGTCTTCTTATCACCATCGATATACTCCAATAAAATACCATTCGACCACACTGATAACCTTAACGTTAAACCAGATGACTACTGCACATCATTAAACAATCCCATTGCTTGCCGGTCAACAAATTCTATTTTCAGTTGGAAAATCCTACACTGCTTCATCCTTTCATTGGATAGATCATCACAGTCCCCTTGCTTCCCTAGCATTAACTCAAAAACTTGGCAAATTTATAGTCTCCGAGGTTCTTAATCAAGTTGATATTGCTCACTAATGATTTATTAATTTGAGAAAAGTAAAGGAGCAATACGAACGCATCATTTGCAATCGCACAGAAATGCAGGTCATAGTTATATAGTGGATTCTATGAAACAATTCATGAATACTGAATTCAATCAATTTAGAATTTCAATTGGGAGGAAAGTTAAGAACTTTCTATTGCGAATGATTTACGAGGCAAGATTTGCATAGAATTGCAATTAATGAATGATTTGTTCATAACGTCGACTTGAATTTAGGTCATGGCAACAATGACTGATAAACAGTTATAAATCTGTTTGAGTAAACATTTATCATTCGATGGCATACTGACGAAGAAGATGTACTAATAATGATATGATAATGATATAATAATGAAGAGTGTCAATGAATGTATATGTACCAAGAATCAATTCCCTTGGTATCTGCGGTTTCTTCGATGGGATAACGCTCCCTCAACGGTTGCTGAATACCTTGTAAACCATCTTTTGTGATCGTTGGTACTGCACTCCCAATGTACAGCACTCGACATCGACAGAACGGTACTCCAACCATACCACCGTATCAATCAATCGCTTTAAATCTTAATCTTCACTCTCATTCATTACTACAAATCCGATTCAAATCTGATCTCGTATTCTCGAACATATTGATCATTCATAACGAAACAATAATAATTTCGCAGAGTTCGCTCACAGTGTGATTATTGTACAACGTGATTGATTATATGACAATAAACTTCAAATGTATCTCAAGGTTTACATTAACCGCACTGAATTGTCAAAAAACATTTGTTGACCTTTCTTTCTGAATCTAAGTTCGAGGTGAACCGATAGAATTGTTCGATGAACGTAAGTAGGTGACGCAAATTATCGACATTTGATTGTCAATCGACAGGGAAAAACAACGAAAATTGATTGACTAATATTTGGGAGGAACACTGAAGATGAAATATTATGAGTTTTGCTTTGGTGAGGTAAGAACGATCGAATCTGACACTGAAATGGTTCCGAAGAAGAATTACTGGCAACCGGTTGGTGGTATGGTTTATGAAACAGATTGATGAATCAATCAATCGATCGTTCACTCGCATCCTCAATTCCATCATTTGAACCTCATCTGCCGCAATTAAAATCATAATTTACACACTCACACACAAACCATCTAGTATGTACTCTAAGCTTTTCACTGCCGTTATGATCATTGCAAATATTCAAGTGATTCCGAGCTATCTTATAAGACGATGAAGAAATATCTCCGAGAATTTCTACTAGTAAATATTCATAACATTCACTGATCATCACCCGAAAACATAGTTTACAACATATAAAATCGCTAAAATATGAAAGATTTTCGAGTTTCACTATCCAAATCAGAACATTTTGCTAATGATTCAGACATCATTAACGGTGCTGCTAAAGAATAAATCGATTGACCTTGAAAACATTGAGAATTTTGTTTCATTCGAGCCTAACAAAATGTTTTTTGGCAAAAACATNGCGTGAAATCATTTTAGCATGACAATTGAACAGTGCTGATTTCAATAATTTTTGAAATGAAGGTTTGACTTGATACGATCAAAATTCCTCACGATGAGGATCATTGCGGTCTTGAATGAAGCTGTCGCCATTCATTCATCGTCGACCAGCGGAAATAACGCAAAAATTGGGACAATTACCGTTGCTGTTAATTTGTGATAATAATGGCGATGAGCATCAGAAGAGTATTGTTGAAGCTGTCAAAAAAGTTGTCATTGAGTAATTCTCATGGAAAAAACAAAGAAAGAAATGAACCAAAGAATGGCACAAGGTGAACGCACTGTAATGGGAAAAAGAAAGAGTTGCGCGAATCACGATTGAATTTTTTCGTCAGTTTATAATATGAAATGAATAGAATTAAGTCACAGATGACCGGTTTACGAACCTTCAAGGATTCGTGACAAGCATAATGTGAAATAGAATCAGTTTCATAAACACACGAAATTCATGCTCATTCCCAGATAAAATAAGTAGTTTTTTGTTTTATTCAGACACTATTCTTTAGTTCTTCTGAATGATAGCCTCCCAGGTATACGAGGTCAGGTCTTCTCATCTGATATCTTCCAGCCTTATATCTGTCAACTTTTAGTCAAATGTATTCACGAGAAGAATGACGATTCTCAAAACTATTGCTTGAAATTTGCTTGAATATCAAACTGATCATCATTTTGCGGCCAATTTGGTCGCTGCTCCCTGATAATGAACAATAAAAATAAAATGAATGCAAACGGAACGTGACTCTTAAAAATTAGCACTGAAAGAGAAATAAGAACTGAAAAAGAGTCAGTCTGTAGGTTGTAAAATGAATTAACAATAAGATGCGTTGATTTAATTTAGTGATGAGTGAACGTGAATTCATTGGGATTACGAACATATTTATCTGCCGACAACAATTTGGTTTACTGACGAGTCAAAAACGAGGTTAATGTCCGAGCGTTAGAGGAAATCATCTGCAAATTATTTGCACTGAACTGAGTTCCATCTTTCATCGAGGAAACACTATTGGCGGAGAATATGAATGGTGAGCGAAAATTGACGAATGAAGTTTTGATATGTTAGTGGTCGATCATTCTCGATAATCACGATAGCTTCTCCTCTAAAGATGGCAAAAACCTTCATGATACAAATGGAACAACTAAACTTCAAGATTGGATTAATTTCGACAATTAAACTATGTATGATAATAATTTCAGTTTAAGTGGGATCATTCTGAATCAATTCGATCCACGAATATGATCTACAGCTAGTGAGCAAGATATAACTGAGATCAATTGATAGCAATCATATTTCGTCGCGATAATCGCATCCTCAGAAGTGTTTATTAGCGAGCCAGCCAGCGAGCGAGTGATTTCAAGAGATAAATGGTGATGGAGTTGAAGATGGAACGATGAATGA